GCGGCCCCACAATACAACAATACCGTCTCAGCCGGCGCTGCTCCTCCCCTGCATGTATGAAAAGAAAAAAAAACACTGCCAAAATGAGTATACACGCTAAACTGTAAAACAGTAGCCATCCGCACTGTTAACATGATCTGATTGCTTTGAAATTCGAGCAAAACGCATCATTATACCGGCAAGTTTGGTGCTTCGCTAGTCTGAGTTTTGCAAAGCATTTTTCTATGATATAATAATTTTCATAAAATTATTGATTTGGTTGCCTATCTTCGCGTATATTTAACACGCATGAAAGTGACGAAGTCAGAATAGAATTCCTGCGCGGCCATAACAGATTGGCGATGATAGAGACCACAACACTGCTCCCTTATCCGTATTGTCGACTATGAACAATTTGGAGAAGAGGGCAATGCAGCAGAAAATAAGCCGTAAATTTTGTCATTTCTCCCTCTTTATCTCGCTGCCTAAAAAATAGCATGTCAATTAGCAAGGGAATAAAATTGGACTGTTGTATTCAGGGATGAAATGAGCAAAGCACAGTACTTTATGAACGCAGCAGTGAGATGTTGCAGTTTACGGCCGAAATTTTGTGCAAGCTTTGGCCCCTCCGGGGACAATAGCAGTACTCGAAACAGCAACATCGTTCGCAGAAGACCACAAAATTGTTTTTGATGTGCTGGAATTTACGGAAGGTGAGAGGCTATTTGGGTGCTGCTTCAAGAAGGATCTCGCTCCACATGGTTCGTTTGCCAGTTACACATTTTTCGTACCAAATCAGCTTATGCAACATTGCAAAGATGTCAAGACGAGAGAAGAGGGAGGGAGAGGGGGGAGGATCTGACTACATGGCAATATATTTTTTTCTGGAAATTCAAAAGCTCGAGACCTGAAATGTTGTGTACGAGAACTCTGTTCCAGGTGCAAGCAAACTTTGCATTCTTGGGGCAAAAGATCACAAATTTGGAATTTCGTAATAAAAGATCCAGATTTAGACAAATTTCGAAAAAATTTTTTCTACTAATCGAAAAAATAAGCTGGATTATTGATAATCGCCAACTGTAGGCAAGGCGATAAACACCCGAATCACATCTCTTGCTATTTTGACCAGCAGTTTAAAACTGAGAAGGAGCATACCCACAGACTGGACCGCAGGTTAAAATTGTTTACAAATCTTTCGAAACCGAACGTGCCAAAATTCATATGGACGGTGGTTTAGTATGAAGTTGAAAGAGGGATTTCGAAGGATTGTGATTTAGAAAATTCTTTACAAATGCAGCATATTGAATTTCCAGACAACATATTCGACATAACTTCATTACTGGCTGGCAGTCGTCCGCCCGAACTATTTTGTCCGTTCGCAACTCCTGCACATTCCACATCAGTTATTTGGAGGACGGCACGATTTACTTGCCCACGCGGAACTAGCAAGGTATTAGTTTGATGAACTCGAAATACTGAAAATAGTAAATTATCACACTTCTTGCTCAGAGATCTGCGATTCAGGACGTGATTTGGTGTAGCCGGCTTGCACTTGCCTGCACTCTCTTCAGTGCACATCATAACTGTCCGCTCCTACTGCTCCAGCCCATTGAAAACTTCTCTCGTGCATTGTGCTGGTGTTCGAAATGCCCAGTTGCAGCAATGTGCCGAAATTACTACAAAATAGCGCGCGGGCAAATTATAAGCAGATGAAATAAAAATTTGTCGTTCTAGGTTCTCTTTATGTGTGAAAATTTTGGGACGAATAATGGCACATGTGCAATGGACAATATTCGAGTGCACAAGCTCTTCGATGTGCTTGAGGTTGAGCCCTGTCAAAAGGACATCGTCGCCTACTCGTAAGAAATGATCGAACAACAGCCCTGCGATCTTTGTCACATGAAAAATTCATTCTTGTACGTGTCAGCTCACACCATGTCGTATTCAGAGCATTCAATTTTCCCTGCAATCGCGGACGGGGAAAAAAGGCTGGTCGAACAGTCTCAAGGAAATTGGGATCAATTAGAGCGAGAAATTCAAGCAACAGCATTCCAAACTGAGGCACACGGCAACAATATGCGATCTAAGGAATGTTACAGAGCATACATGATCGAACCATTGAAAACTGAAAGATAGCCTATTTTGGGCTTCCCACTCTTCGAAACTCTGAATACGCGTCTGATCTCAACCATTATTTAACAAATTTCAGATTTAACACAGAGTTTGCTAAGCAGTTGAAAAAAAAACAGGTTTTAACTGGCTCGCTTACCTTTGGCTTCAACATATAATGGTACGAAAGAACTGATTTTGGAGAGTAAAAGCTCGGCAAGAGAAGCAGCACAGCTGAAGCACCCTAAAAAAGCCAGAATGTTTTTTTTTGAACTCTAGCCACTAAGTGTCGGATATTGTTCGGCGCAGCCAGTGATACTAAGCAAAAAATAAACTGCGATGCGGTCACAGGACCGATGTAAGTATACGGGTTGTGCACAGACAGTCAAAAAGTTGTCAGCGTCGACATCTACGTGCCCGTATCTGAAGTGCAAGGAAGACGTGAGAACTGATTTCATGTATATTCACACATTGCTGCAGACCAAGTTCACAAAATTTCAACACTTCAGTTGCTTTGGTTACGAAAATACAAAATTGTCAGCATTCAATTCTATCTGCGCATGAGATTTTAAAAGAACAAGAAATTCTTCCTCAGGTTAGCCGCACATAGCAGCAGTCCAGCATCACGAAATTTTAACTTCCTAGCGAGTTTGGCAGTTAGAAATTTGAAATTATCAGCGTAAGTCCCACAGGCTGAGAGTTTATTGTGAACATGTGGACCCCAGTATGGATGAGGAATATCCTCGTGAAACTTTAACAACTCATCTGTTCTTGCCCCCGAGTTAGCACGGCGTCAATAATTTCTAATTTTGAAATTTTATGTGTTCGTATGTAGGGCATGGACGTGCATAAAAGACGAACTTGAATTTTCGGAAATCCCGGAGAACATCCTGGCAAACCTCCAATTTTTTAGCTTTTCTGGTCCCCGAAATCGCTTCTTTACCAAAACATTTTCGTACCCAAGAATTGAAGGAATACAAGGATATATTTTACGTCAAGAGACTTATCTTTTTTTTATGAGTTGTGACATCTGCGTCCACCAAAAGAGGCAAACGAAAGCTTGCTGTGACGAACACAACAAGTGCAGCGAAGGATGTTTAGACCAAATAAGCAAAAAAATCCTTCATCAGAGAAGTAGCCTGGAGAATATCGCTGCAAACACGGCGAAATGTAAAGGACGTAACCCGTTACTGCTGGACGCCGTGCATTAATGGGTGGCCGTTTCGAAGTGTGCAGCGCAAAATCGAAAAACCTGGCACAGCCATGTTCGATGTGAAAGCATCAGACTAATCACTGGCATGCAATCTTCACACTCACCGCGTTGACGCTCCACGCATTTCTGGCATGAGCTGAGAGGGAATCGAACTCATCCTGAGCTTCTCCAACCACTACATTACCCGATTTCACCACTCAATCGTGGAAACTCCAGCATTTGATTACACTTGTACTCTAAAGCACCTAAGTTTGCATATATGGCATCCATGTACATACACTCTAACGTAAACTGCTCACAGATCTGTGCCGTTTGGCCAGCTTTCTCTCCGTGACAAG